AGCCTCACACTGTCATGTTTCAGCTCCGGATAAAGTCATGTCATATTTCTAACATGCTGTATCTGTATCTGGGCTCAGCACATGATTTTGGATGTAACATTATTTTTTGAGTGTCTGTTTTCGAACAGGTTCTTTTGGTAAAGCTTTTGAGCTATATTTTTGGACTGCACAATTTTTCTTTCAAGAAGTGTCATTTTTCATTAATGCTATTGCTTCCATATGCACAATATTAATAAATGCAATACCACGTTCTATAGAAGAAAGGTTAGTGCTCAGGTAACAGGTCTTTGACCGATGACAGTACACTGTATTGTGTTCCCTGTCAGAAAGTGTAGTAAAATTAAGAAACATAAATTTGTTCATGTAAATTCCATGTGACATCTATCTAGCTCAGACTTTTATGAGGGAGCTACCACAGTTTGCATGGTAGAACACATGTTTTGCATGCAGAATGTTCTTTGGTATCTCCAGCTAAAAGTATTTGGTTACAAGTGAAAGGAAAGACCTTTTCTGGAGACCCTGGAGTGCCGTTGATGATCACAGTGGACAATAATGGGATAGAAGGACTAATAGTGTTATCTAACACAAATCTCCCACCATTCTATGATTAAAAAAACATATTCAATGTAGCTAACAATCAAAAACATAACTTGCAGAATGCTTAAGGTCCACCCCATGCAATAAAACACAATAAACCACATGAAGCCAGCAGAGAGAAAATTACCAAACAAGCAAGCAAGCAAACAAACAAACAAACAAACAAACAAACCCACAGGTGATATCCTAAGTTAAATGAGCAAACTTCCCCTCACACAATGGTACCTTCCCTTCCTCTCCTACCCTTGCAGCCAATACCAACCCTCACCAGGTTGGGGAGAAACATACTAGGGTGGGAAAATATGTTCCACCAACAGTAACCACTAGTGGATAGACACCACTGGATTTCAACAAACATCAACAAAATAAGTCTAAAACATGTAATTTCCAAATGTGTAAAGAAAAGGACTGACACTACCCCCATTGACAGTGTGCTGGTGGTTTTTACTGCAGACCCTCCAAGTGTCCCTATTTTCCAGGGACATCCCTGATTTGGAGAAGCTGTCCTAGTTTCAGATTTGATCCCAAAATGTCCTGCTTTTCCTTAGGATTACCCTCTTTTCATTGGAGAAATGTTGAAGGGTATGGAGTTATTTGACTCCCAAACTGCATGAAGGCAGTCCTGGATAGGGAAGTTTTTTCCAATGTTTTATTATGTTTTATATATGTTGGAAGCTGCCTAGAGTGGCTGGGGCAACCCACTAAGATGTGTGGGGTATAAATAGTAAAATGATCATTATGGAATGGGACGTCCCGATTTTCATCAGAGAAATGTTGAAGGGTATGTTACTGTATATTGCCTGATACATTTGCAACAACATTTGCAGCAAGTTCCTGTGTGCATGACCTCTGGACTGGGGGACTGAGTCTTCTTGCACAGCAATTCAGCATGTGGTCAGAATTCGAACAGGTAGCCAGGAGGAAAAGACAGCAATTACTCAACTTAAAAGAATGCTTTAAACACATAATTCATAAACACAGTGTATTACAAATAGCAGGAAATACATTTAGATAGATCCCACCAGGAAATCAGGGAATGACTGATTTCCTCTCTTAATATATATTTTTGAACGTTTCCCTCCCACAATGTATGCACACTCAGTGATATATTGAAAAGCTTTCTTTAGGGGGAGAAAACATCACTGGGAATTTGTTAGCATTTGATAAAAGGCTTTGTGAAGACAAATCACAAATAGAATAGTAAAGCAGAGCATAAGTGAAACCACTTTGTAGCCTGGACTTGGGAAAAGTTGTAAGTACAGTGGTACCTCGGGTTACAGACACTTCAGGTTAAAGACGCTTCAGGTCACAGACTCCACTAACCCAGAAATAGTACCTTGGATTAATAATTTTGCTTCAGGATAAGAACAGAAATCGTGCGGTGGCAGCGGGAGGCCCCATTAGCTAAAGTGGTACCTCAGGTTAAGAACAGTTTCAGGTTAAGAACGGACCTCCGAAATGAATTAAGTTCTTAACCCGAGGTACCACCGTAAAGAAATACCTTCATATGTACCTCTATATGCTGCATTGCAATGGACACCTAGATGCCTGCTCTGTATCTCTTGCTACATAGCCCTGTTTCCCTATTCCACAATGATCATCTATTCAAGATGGCTGCTGTATACAAACCCTGCAGGCCTTGCCACATCACTTGGGTCTTCAGGGACATTGCTGTTAGTGGTTGTCCATTGCTTGGATGCCCAACTCATATCTACCAAGCGTCCTGCATTCCATATTGTGGGCCCAGTTCTGTGGAAAGTTGCTTAAAGACTGTGCTGTTAAGCAGTAGAGTGGTACCTTGATCTCTGAATGATTTAGTTGTCAAACAAATTGGCTCCCGAATGCCACAAAACCCAGAAGTAAGTGTTCCGGTTTTCGAAAATTTTTCGGAAGCCAAATGTCCGATGCGGCTTCCACAGCTTCTAATTGAGTGCAGGAAGCTCCTGCAGCTAATCAGGAGCCATGCCTTGGTTTTTGAATGGTTTCTGGAGTTGAATAGACTCTCGGAATGGATTAAGTTTGAGAACCAAGGTACCACTCTGTATAAATTGTTGGAATAATAGTCAGCTAGCTGGACTGTGATGTGACTTAGCTTTGCTGTGATTTTATCCCTTAAAAAAGGGACACTGTGGATATTTCTCTGATGTTAGCCTAAGAACATGACTGCACGTTGCCTTTAAGAATGTGTAGCCGAGAAAAATCTTTTTGCACCCTTATCCCGACCACAGTTACTTAGGGAGTACATGCTGCTGATTTAATTGGCAGTTATTGTGTAAGTTAATATGCTTAGGTTTACAGCTTTGCAACCTGCTCTTATGAGAGAAATAAGTGTGCAGGATCCAGTGGGTGGAATGTTGGAGCAATGCATTATGCTTTTGGTACATGCCAACCTAATCCTTTATGCTAACATAACAGCATGTGACTGTGCTATGCTACCAGCCAAATGCCATCATGATTAGATGAAGCACAACTTCAACACAGACATCTGCTAACATGACAAAAAAATGGGTTGAGAGAATTCAGGATGGAGATAGAACTGGAGAAAGTTCTGTTCAACCATCATAAGGCCAGTTACTGTGGAACTATAATTCGTGCTTTATATATATTGCAAATGGGGATGGGATCATTAGCTTGCCAAAATTTCAGGCTGGCACCACCAGCCTGCCTTTCCTTCCATGTTCCATATGCCACAACAGTTGCCTTGGGTAGGAAGGAAATGCATATGTCCCCACAGCTGTGCATGTCTAAAAGACAATAATATTTATTTAATTAAGACTTATAGAGTGTTTTCTGTCTTGTGTCTTGACAAACAATCCTTATTTTGTTTAACCTTTGTCTATCATTTTATTCCAATGAGAAACTGCATTCTAATAGGAAAGGGAAGATGAAAAAATTGTTAGATTTTCATGGGTGAGGTGCACAATTCTTGCTGTACGTACCTTACTTTCATTCTACAAATCATCCTTTTGCTTGTCTGTAATCTCCAGCCTTCCTCAGGTGTTTAGTAGTAGAAAGCAACATGAGCAAATTCTTCCCACAGAGAAGAAGAAGAGTTTGGATTTGATATCCCGCTCTATCACTACCCTAAGGAGTCTCAAAGCGGCTAACAATCTCCTTTCCCTTCCTCCCCCACAACAAATACTCTGTGAGGTGAGTGGGGCTGAGAGACTTCAGAGAAGTGTGACTGGCCCAAGGTCACCCAGCAGCTGCATGTGGAGGAGCGGAGACGCGAACCCGGTTCCCCAGATCAGGAGTCCACCGCTCTGAACCACTACACCACACTGGCTCTCTCACAGAGCTTTTTGTCAGATCAGGAAGTATGCAGATGGGAAGACTGATGGAAAGAAACACACACATCATGTTTGGTCACCTTGCACCTTTCAAGTAAGCTTGATACCATCCCCCCCCCCCCAATTATATAAAGAAATGATGAAGCTTGCTGCCAATAAGACAAATAAACAACGCAGTAACTGACATGATGCCACGCAGCATAAGAACTTTCTCTCAAGGCCTCCCAAACTCTGGAGCCAGCACCATTGTGGGTGTTGTTTTCTCTCTTTCAATTTAGAAATAATATATATATTTCTCCATATTTAGGAAGTATCCCAAACATCCCTGATTTCATGGTGGAACAGGGTTGGGTTTCTCCTTAGGTTGTTTCTTCTTAATGTATGTTGAACTTACATTGTACTTCTAAAAACTGCGAGTTATCTCACTCTGGTTTCCCTCACACCCTCCATCATTTCTCCAATGAAAATAGGGACACCCTATTCCATAACAATAATAACAACAATCATTTTATTATTTATGCCCCACTCATCTGACTGCAATGCCCCGACCACTCTGGGCAGCTTCCAACATATATAAAAACATAACAAAACATTTAAAAACTTCCAGATGCAGGGATGCAGGACATTCCACGATCAAATCAGAAACCGGGATGGCATCTGTAAATCCGGGACTGTCCCTGGAAAATAGGGACACTTGGATGGTCTGTTCTCTATGGTCCCATTTTGGCTGTAATCCTGCTGGAACTCATCACTTGAGTTCACTGTTATGATTATGGCTGCAAAGATAATGGCCTTATATAACTTATTTGTTCAGAGGCAGAATGTTGTTGAGCATCAGTTGCTAGGTAACACCAGTAAGAGAAGGAGATGGCCTTCAAGCCCTCCTTGTGGGCTTCCTGGGGGCATTTGACTGGCCAGTGTAGGATGCTAAAGTTGATGGACATTTGGTCTGATCCGATAAATCAAAATTAAACATTTTGCAGACTTTTAAATTTTCTATTGTAACCTTTCAACAAACAACAAACACAACATACCATTTGTGAATCTAGCAAAAAGTATCGCTGTTATCTTTGTAGCTACCTGAAAATGTTGATTCAGTGATAGGGTGAAAATCAGATTTGTTGTGGCTCTCTCTTTTGCCTTCCTCTCTCTATCTCATAGGAAGGCAAAAGAGAGAGCCACAACAAATCTGATTTTCACCCAGGTTGTCTGGAAGTCCCAGGTTTGTCTGGAAATGTCCCCCACTTCAAACCCCAGAGAACTACTGCCCATCAGTGCAGGAAATACTGTCCTAGATGGGCCAAGGTTTTCACTCAACAAACGGCAGTTTTTAATGTTTTGGGGAAAGAAACTGCTAGTTAGTTGTGACAGCATTTCGATGCCAGCTTTGAGCCACATTTTTACCGTTCATACCATTTGGTGCCCTTTGCTAAATGAAGTCCATTTGGAAGTTTCAGTCCTTTTATGTACAGCCTTATCTACTTACATTCCCTTGAAATATATATGTGTATTCTCAAATCTGCAAGACAGTAAACATCTAGCAAGGAATGGGAATTTGTAAAATCCATAACAATTTTAAACTAATCTGTTGTGCAGGTTTGTCAGCAGGAGCAACGCATCCCTTTAAATCACATTTCCCTTACAGATTGGAAGGTACCAATGCGACACAAAAGAAATTTAATCTATAAGGCAGTTTTTATATTGACACATTAACCCTTTGGTTAACCCGCAATAATTTCAGTCCTTGATAAAATATTTGAAACTGATCTTCTGACTGCAGCTTCAGAGATCAAACATCTCCTAGGAGGTAACGCAAAACAAAGTCAAAAGATAAGGCTCCTTTTTGCTGAAAAGCAATTTGTATATTTCTTACATAATCTTCAAAAATTGGAAACATTGTTATATCAAACAATCTTTGAAGACAAATTATGTCTCAGGCGGAGGAATCTATTCACCCCTTTGAGTTTATTATACATTAAAATGTGTAACCAGAGACTGCTTGGGAGATTAAAATCCCTTTGTGCTTTTCATACTTCAAAAAATGGTATAAAATTGCAAATATATTATTCCTGTTGAATCATTCTCCGAAGAGACCACTAAGACTTTGGAGGAATGTTTTAGAATGTATTTTCCCATAAATGTATCAAGCTGAATTATTCTTCTATTAAAAGGAACCATTTGTAGTGTTCCATTATGCTGCATCTCCTTCTCAGGTCCTAACAGGGCTCCCTCTAATATATTTAACAGCAATAGTATATCAAAATGTATGTGGCGAAATTCAGCCAGCAGGAATTATTGAACAACTATCACTCTGAGCTGTGAAATCTAACATGTGAAGCCAGAAATGAGCTAAGCTTCCAACAAAGCCAGGTGCATTCAGATAAACCTTTTTATCACAGGGCTAATGAATGCTGAATCTAATCCCGTACTAATATCTTCAGTTACACTTTTGCAGCTGAGCCATTTGTTCACCACCGCTTTTGCAGAAATAATTCGGCCTGTTTTTGTCTGTCCACTTGGAAGCTATCCCATCAGTCCAAAAAAGCAGGGAATAAGGACCATTGAGAAAAAAGGAATGTCATACAGAGAGTCAAATGTGATGAAAATCCTTACTGACTCAATTAAACCTGTTGTTAACCAGTTTGCAAATCTAGCTAGCAAGTACTTTAGGAAATTCACTAGCTAGGTAGGTTGTTGCAGTGCAGTTTCACTTACAAAGCCTTAAGAGATCCAGCGCCGAGGGCCTTCTGGCGGTTCCCTCATTGCGAGAAGTGAGGTTACAGGGAACCAGATAGAGGGCCTTCTTGGGCGCTGGACCTTGAATAGTTAATTCAAGTTGGCACCCTTAGTTTGTACCATGCCCTTGTCTCTCATCACCTGACCACCAACAGTACAGCCCTGCTGAGCCATCTAGCAGCAAAAAGCAAGCCCATTCCTCCGTTCAGCTCTCTGCATACTGCTGCCTGTGGCCACTCACTGCTGCTTCCAGTCTCCTGACAGCAGTGTCTTCCAGCTTCTTCCTCTTCATCAGACTACTTCAGTGGCTGCTGTTTTCTAACTGTCCTTCAAACTTTTAGTGCCCATTTGGAATTGGATACGTGTGAACTCTCTGACACAAGGCACATTTCCAGCTCCGGCATGTAGAGTACTAAAAGCAAGAGGTACCAGCACGCAGCTAATGCAACCCAATTTCATTTGGTTTGGAAAGCTGCTAAAATGCCTAAATGGAACGGAATAATGCTTTGTTCCTTTGATCCTTCCCTCTGGATTGTTTCTTTTTAAAAAAGTCTTCTTTTGATTTTGCCTTGCAGAAATGCAGAAACCATGACTTTCCTTGAGTACCACTTTTTGCTACAAGTGGTTTTTCCTTGCTAAGAAATAAGATCAAAACAATGGAAGTCTAGCTCCCTAATGTGCAGATGAAATATTTCACTGCTTCCTGGTGCCTCTCTTCTTTCACTCCTAAAATATGATTTTGCTTAATGCTTATTTACTTTGGCCCGTCTCCTTCCACCCCATGCTCCAGAAATGTCTGAATAGCCTGCTGTTATGCTAAAATAGTCAACGCAAAAAGGAACCAGCATTTGCTTAGCACCAACAGCATAATACAAATAGAAACTATTCGGTTATTAGAGCCGATGTGTGGAAATTGCAGGGAAGCAGATTTTGGCTAAACATTTAGAGGAACTTCCTAATGTGGTGAAAGAGGAACAGGCTTCATTGGAGGTAGCAGGTTCTCCTTCAGTGGAAGCATCTGAGCAGAGGCCAGAAGATCATCTGCCAAGGATACTGTGACTGCGTTGGGCCTGGAGTAAATGATCTCCAAAGTCCTTTCCGATTCCAGGATGAATGAATGAATCTGAATGAATCTTTATTGCTAAAAGCTATAAGCCGTCACAATTGGTCCCAGGATTCTATGATATTTCTCAGAGGGCTTACAATCTGCATAACGTTGGCAGATGTCAAAGGAAGGGACAAGTTGCAGCCAAGTTTCAGTAGCAAGACACAAGCACTATCCTTCTGTAACTAAAAAGAATTCCAGGTCTCTTCAGGATTTGCCATTGGTACATTGGTACCTTGGGTTACAGGCGCTTCAGGTTACGGATTCCACTAACCCAGAAATAGTACTTTGGGTAAAAATGCTTCAGGATGAGAACATAAATTGTGCGACGGTGACACAACGGGAGCGGGAGGCCCCATTAGCTAAAGTGGTGCTTCAGGATAAGAATAGTTTCAGGTTAAGAACGGACCTCCAGAACAAATAAAGTTCTTAACCCGAGGTACCACTGTATATTTCTGCTGATTTATTTATTTATTTATTTGAAATAGATTTTAAGAATTATGTTGCTATTCATATAATTGGGTGTGTGGGGGTGTGTTAATTTGCCTTAGGGGGTTAATTTGATAAAGAAGTCTTGAGGACCTTCCTCCTGAAGGGAGGTGAGAGAGTGAGATTTTCCTTGCTTCAACGGGCCAACGAGATAAAGATGGTGGTTCTCAGTTTTTAACAGAAGCTCTGCCCTGAGCTCTTCCTTCTTCATCCTTACAGCCCCCATGCACTTGGCCTTTGACAGTTTGAGACTTGTGTCACCTTCACATGGGCCAAGTAGGAATTTCTTAGATATTTCTGAATTACCTTTTTTCAGCTATGTTGCCCTCATTTTATTGCCTTTTAATGACTATGGACTTCTGAATTTGGTTCTTCTTATAGGCAGTTAATGTAGGCAGATAAATAAAGATTTGATCATTGGTAAGCACCTGAGGACCATTTGTGTGGGCGACACATCTCCAACCTTCTGACCAATCTGGGAAGCTGCTTGGACTGGGGTTCTTGGGGCCAGGCAGGTACCCGCTGCTAAATGCTGAAGAGCAGAGGTGGAATGTGCTGGTCAGGTCAAAAACACCGAGGGCTCCTATTGAAAGAGGATGGGAAACTTTGCCTCCCATCATGCCATTGAGCTGATGGAGCTCATCTGAGGTAGTTTTGCCAAGGAGGTTTTCCCTTCAGTTTACTCACTTTTAACCTGCTTGCACTTAGTTAAGTTGTATTCAATAAATGTAACCTTAAACCAAAGTTGGCATTGAGTCAATCCTCTGGGTATGTGGCCAATGGCCATATATAATTTTTATATTATCTTACTTTCTTCCTCCTGGATTTATTTCTCAAATTCTATTTTCTTACTCAATATTACATGTTTGTTTCTGTCTCATCAACCCGGATTTAATTTGCATGTATTGGAAAACAGGTGGTCGTATTACAATAACACCAGCTATTTGTATGTAAAATATCACTGCATTTATGTCTCAATACTTATTGAATCATTTTTATTCCAGGATATCAAAACTCCTTTAAATTCCCATCCAAATTAAAATTAAGCAATGCTCATGGAGATATTTTAGGTGCTAAATTCCTGTTTCCATTCATTTTGTATCTCTAGGAATGAGTTAGCTGTAACTTCCTCATTTTTATATTTCCTTTCCATTTTTGACATCCACAATAATTTTTAAGGTTGCATTCGCAATGGGAGCTCCTCCTGAGTAGAGATGTATGAGATTGCATATTAAATAGTATTTTGTAGCAGTTTCTTCAGGTGGGGCGTGGTGGAGAGAGAATCACATTGTTATGGTTAACAAAAAGGACAGCAAAACCAACAGTACCATTTTTTTTAAAAATGGTATTACAGGCTGCTGCTATTTTTCTTACTGCTGCTTGTTAAGAAGTTGTATACTAGCAAGGTAACCAGACAATAAGGGACACGGGGGGTGCTGTGGGTTAAACAACTAAGCCTAGGACTTGCTGATCAGAAGGTCAGCAGTTCGAATCCCCGCGATGGGATAAGCTCCCGTTGTTCGGTCCCTGCTCCTGCCAACCTAGCAGTTCGAAAGCACGTCAAAGTGCAAGTAGATAAATACGCACCACTCCGGCGGGAAGGTAAATGGCATTTCCATGCGCTGCTCTGGTTCACCAGAAGAGGCTTAGTCATGCTGGCCACATGACCCAGAAGCTGTATGCCGGCTCCCTCAGCCATTTAAGCGAGATGAGCGCCGCAACCCCAGAGTCGGCCACGACTGGACCTAATGGTCAGGGGTCCCTTTACCTTTAATCAGACAACGCTGTCCATGATCAGAACAAGAGAAGCATTTACTGGGTTTTTCAAGTTAGTCTCCATATGGGGAGCTGAAGGTTACAAGCT